CTTCGTCATCACTAATATATCTATCTGATCTGTCTGTTTATCTTTATTGAAGAACATCCGGGGACTGATGAACTTCCCTCTGATAGCATCATAATGAAAATTGTCTGCTCAAAATATTTTATATCATCTCCGGTTAAAAACAATTCTTCTACGACTATGCAATCTAATCAAGCTAGAAATCGATTATACAAAGGACACGATATTAAGAATTTAGATCATGCAATAATAAAAGTGTTTACAAATCAATCTTCATGGGAAATTGAAAAGAAGTTTCTCTGTAGCTTAAAGTCAAAATTTGTTATCAAATGGCTGGATATGGAAATCAATAATCATTTCGGCTTTGTGTCTGTTACCTCTTATGCTGGTGAAAACTTGGAAACAAAAAAATATATATTTAATGGTGCAATTGCAAAAAAGCAAATCCTATTAAGTATTTCTAGAGCAATTGAATTTCTTCATGGTGAAAAAGTTGCTGTAAGTTACATTGTTATTTTTTGTCTTATACTATAATTCGATTTATTCTAATTAAAATCTCAATTCATTTTAAGCATCTCGATTTGAAGCTCTCAAATATTATTTGTAAGCCGAACAACCCATACAAGATACGCCTTTGTGATTTTGAATCGGCGAAAAATTTCGGTGACTACCTACAATCCGATCACTTTTGCTCATGTGGATTTAGTGCCCCTGAGATTGTGCAACATGCTACTATTAAAGTTGGCTCTGCTCAAGATATATTTAGCTTAGGTTGCATTTTCTATTTCATTCATAAGAATATGCGCATTTACGATGCTTTCGACGATTTACGCAATTCAACTTGTTTTGATCATCGTGTTTATGGTGAAATTGTTGACGAGCAAGCTGCAAATATTACTTTACGAATGTTAGATTGGAATCCAAATGATCGTCCAACAATACAAAAAGTGATAGACTCGGATTATTTTAAATGAAGTTCAGAGACTTACTAAAGAAAATGAATCATAAGAAAAAGTAAGTTTTTAAATTTATATAATGGTTTCTTTTGACTCGAGACCGATCTATTTTTAATTCTTATCGAGTGCTTATGTATAAAGTTACTCGATCTGCAGGTGAATGAATCGGATTTAGAATGATAAACACATTCTTCTATTCTTTGTTAGCGTTAGAGATCGAGTTTAGAAAACAATCTATTTATATTTCATTTTTTGTATTTAATGAAACTTATTTAGAGAAGTTCAAAGAACTTTCGAAAACTACTTTTTACAGTGGGAAACATAAGTAACTGTACCACTCTAAAGCATGTAAACATAGAAAAAATTAGATTTTTTTATTTTGACCTACCTAATTCTAATGCATAGTATAATTTCCATTGGTCTCTATTAGTGGCAAAACATGGCATTTTATATCACAGACAAATTTTATGAAAAGTGCATCGGGGAAG